AAAAATCCACAACTATGTCATCATTTTCTTCAATGAAGTTATTACTTGTCACACACTGCAGCAGAACTCTTCTTTCATCCCACCCACCAGCACAAGCAATGTAATCATGGTCTCAGGTTGCTGCTTTGTAAACCCTTGCGCAGTGGTGGGTTGCTTCACATCCCATAGCAAATTCAGGTTTTCTGCAGTGAGGCATGCTTTGATAAGAGAGAGAGAGTCTGGTACTTTCCTGTTATCTCAGTACCTCATTCCTAGACCGCACTACCATCCAGACAAATCTTTGGGACAAGTTCATAATCACAAGGACCTACCAGAAACTGTGAATTTTATTTTTACGCATTCTGATGAAACTGATTTTGGGAGGTGGTTAAGTAAAGTTAGGTTAGGTCAGATTATGTTAGTTACAAATATCTTTTAACTAACATAACCTACAGAAACCCAAAGAAAGCAGAAACTGATTTTGGGAGGCAGTTATAGGTGAAGTTAGGTTAGGTCAGGTTATATTGGTCAGAGGGAATGTACAGAGATAACAGGAAAGTAGGTACTGAGATGACAGGAAAGTATGGAGAGTCCACCTCTATACATGCAAGGAACTTGAGTGTCTGCGGACGGGACCAGGACCCAGCAGGGAGAATAAGACGGCGTTGACCCCTGCTGCTGGCGAGGGATGAGGGGTGGAAGAAGCAGCCGGGTTTCACGCCGCGTTCACGCGTTGAGAACGTGCGTGTGTTCAGAATAAATGCGAGGTTCGAGTACGTGGCTGCTGCTGCTTTTTCTGTTGCCATCGTGGCAACGGGTGCGTTAGATTTCCCTCATCCTCATCCGTGTGCGAACCAGGTGTGCCAACTGCGCCACCTTTTCGCGTACAGTACACGTCGTTGACTCCCAACAACGATGCGAACTGCGAATCACACACTACGGGGAATTACGCGTGGGTTGTTGGCTATGCAGTATTGACGGAATTTCGCTGGCATTGAAAATGGGGGGTGGAAAAGTACATTTGTGTGGCTGGGATACGGGAGAGAAAATTACTGTAAGTACTTATTTTCATTTATTTATTTTGCTTCGGAAGACGCATTCCGCAGGTATGTCGCTAGCTGTTCAGTGTAGTGCGTATAGTACGCTGTTGCACTGAAGAATTCCTTCTGCGATTATTTACCATGTGATCTTTGCTCTGCGCAGTCGGCGAAAATAAAGGGGGGAGGGGGGGGATCTGCGAGGAATCCTTGAAAATGTCACACATTCCCAGTTTTCAGACTTCGCAGTAAAAGCCCCACATTTCCAAAAAACACACTTCACGACGCTCCATAAAATGAGAAAACTGCCAAAATGATGTTCTCATTTATTGGTCTAATATTCAAAATGTTAAGGGTTTTAGATCATCGAACCTAAAATTTGTACATGTATCAAAGGTATCAAACACCAACGTCAGGTCGTTTAAATAGGCAGAAATCTCCAGAGAAGTGTTTCAAGTTTTCTGTGCCCAGTACGAGTATTGTACGTGTTTTTTCTTCCTGTAATCAATCAAAATATGGGTGCGACCAACACACTCGTAAATGAGGCACAAATTTGAACAAGAGAATCAAATACAAAAGAATGCATGCATACCTTATTAATATGCGTGAAAGAAAGCTTCACGATGCTTTGTGGTTCAAAAATTCCCGCATGTGAGGTTGGGAAAGGACAATTTTACACAAGGAAATTCCTTGAGTAATTTTTTCAGGAATCGAAACGAAAAAATTTCTGGAAAAACCTTGTTGAAGAACTTTCTTGAAAGCAGTGGAATGCTCCATTAATTTTTCGAGAATCAATATTCGAATTATTCCGCAGAATCAAATTCTGCAGTCGTCAGCCACATTTCACGTATGCAATAAAAATAAAAAATAAAATAAACACGCATTTTATAATGCAAACATTCATCGGAGATTCAAATAAATACTTCTTCATTTTCCCAAAGTTTTTGAGGTACGTGACGACAATACGTAAGTTTTCTCTGCATTTATAGTTAGCTGATTTGAGTAAAGTCTGCATATTTGAAAGAGAAATCGGACAACATGCTTTCTATTTGCTCTCATAATTTAGCAACTATGGTTGAATCAATTTTCAACGATCCCGTGAATTGATAATTTTTGTCCATCCCTTCTGAGGGTGGATAACAAAGTTCGTTTTGTATGGCTGCGTAAATACTCTCGAATTTTAAAATTAGCGGACAACCTTCTTCTCACACAAAGGGACCTACTTATACTTACTAGAAGCCTGACGGATTGGTGACGTTTTTTTTACATGCGTTGTAAGCGTTAAATGAGTGAGTATGACAACAGCTTTAAAAAAAAAGCCAGAATACAGTATTTTCGTCTGAAAATACAAGGCACGTTAGAAAACTAAATGGAAACCCTGGCATGAGGATATTCGTCATCGCTTCTTTTGAAGACAGAGTAATAAAAAAATAAAAGATCTCAGCGAATAAGTATGAACAGAAGAACTCTGTCCTGACTCCTGAACCATCAGCTGGCGCGTGTCTCATCTTTTCCGCCGAGGTTTCGCGACGTTTCGCCGTTTTCGCCGTCATGCCGACTCTTATCTTCTGCTGTTTTTCTTGCTTTATGTCTTTTCCTTGTCTTTTCAGGGGGGAAAGACGACAAGAACAAATCACGAAATTCGGCGAGGAATTTCAGGCGTTCCGTGGCTTTTCTTTGCCAATCTCTGAGATTTCGTCGTTTGTTATTCACATTCCGGTTTCAGAAGTTTCTTCAAGATTGATTGCTGATTTCACTGGAAAAATTTGGTTCCTGCGTTTTGAAAAAAGAGGGAAGTTTCTATTAACATGAAAGTAGCAATAGCTTCGATATTCACTTGTGTTGAAGACCGTATTTCGCCAAAAAAAAATGACCCGTGTAGATGAAATAAACCGTCGCATAATTTTGAATTGTGGTCCACCAGACCAAAAAGCCTGACCCAAAAGAGCTAATTTTTCACAGCTTACAGTATATAAAGTTTAGCTTGAATACTGAAGCATTTAAGTTTGAAGACGTGGAATCTACCATTTCTGAAATAATTTTATTGGCCTCACAGGAATTATTCGAGACACGCAGTTTTCAGTGTTTAATGTTGCATGCACCTGTACCCAATAATGGCCCAAATTATGTAATTCATCTGGTACATTACCGCCTAAAAATGGGTGTCACCTGTTTTAAATCTTTTTTGAGCAATAATATTTTATCGTCTTTTTTTTCAAGGTTTAAATAGATGGAATGAGTAAATATATCCTCGAAGGACGCTTCGAAAAATCACCCTGCGTTGAAGAAGCGCACGCCTCGTAAATCGTTTCGGAATTGATAAAACCGTGATTTCGAGGAGAAGTTTTTGGCAGAACCTCAAAATAGTTTTTCCGTTTTTCTCGCTCCTCGACGCAATTGACGTCAACTGCTGTGAGCTACGTCACGTCGACTGAGAAAAAGAAGGTACATATTCAAGTGGTTGTTGCTACCGAGCTCATGTCTCATATACAGTATGTCGATCATTTATCGAATCAAAATGGGATTCTGGCAATGGTTGACTCATTTGTATATACAGTATCATAATCAGCGAGATGATTGCGAGCACGTGTTTTTTCTTCTCGCTGAAACGATGGTGAGACTATAGTACTTTTGCGAAACAGAACAAAAAAATAAACTTTTTCATTATGGGGTTGAGGAATTCACTTGATTGATTTTATTTTGCTTTTTGTGTGAGGATAAATTGTTCCGTGTGTGAGTTTCTCCCATGGCGTGGGAGATAGACGGAGACTGCGTGGATAAGCCTGCCAGACATGTTGGAACCGGGAAAATATTATTCACTCTTCCCGCTTCGTCTCTGATTTCATCACGAAATTCTCGATTTTCTCGACCTTTCTTCGGTTATTTTTGTTGTTGAAATTTTTGGAAGATTTGAAACACATTTATTTGCACAACATTTATTTGCTGAACAAAACAATTAGCTGTTGTGTTCAGTGTAACTAGATGTACAGTATGCTTATTTTATGGATTTTGTGCTCATTTTCAGGCCAATAGGGCAGATTACGTCTAGTTTTCTTCTGCGTTTTTATTCTCCGCACCTTTAAGTTAAAGTCATTTTTATTTTAATCTTTGGAAAAGTTTTAAAATTGTTCGCCAAAAAGTAGTAGTGGTTGAAATGTTTTTTTTTTATTGAATAAGTCTAAATGATCCAACATGCAGATGTTTCAGCATATATAGACAACACAAGTCCAAGAATCAGGGCCTCCATCGTAACTGATTCATTTGTTTTTGAGAGCTAGTGAGAAAATATTAGATAAGAGAATTGTTTGATCTGCACCATCAGCTTTTCTGCGTCACCGAGGATCTGGAACGTGAGGCCTGACTGCTGCTGAGTGCAGATTCTCTCTTTTATCGACTCATAGAAAAGGATCACCGGTAACTTCTGGTCTTGCCCTTAAGTTTGAAGAGAAAATCCGAATTTAATTTTATAGTACAGTATTACAAAAACATCATTCAACTCAGCAAATGTGTATGGGTATTTTTAACTGTTCCTGAGCTATTTTTATCAGTTATTTCGGCTTTCCAGCGCTTTATTTCAACTCTACCTCTCCTCGATTGTATATTTTCACAGTGAGGAATCCGTCACTCAAGTGACACAAACGACACCTTTTCTCCTAGTTGTGTTCTACAATGAAACAGGGATTGTTTCTGCTGTCTGTGAGTTCAAAAATGTAAGCTTCGTGGAAGAAAAAAATTCTAGCGACGAAATGAGAAAAATAATTCAACTTTTTCCTGGATGCACACTGTGTTCCTTCGTTTCCAAAAGCAAAAAAAGGAAGAAAGAAAGAATGCTAGTCCTTTATAGACGGAATCCACAATAATTCGTTTTTCAGACGAAAGTTATTTTAGCGGTGATTACACCGTCAGATACTGTGCCGTATCCTTTTCCGACGGTTTTATGTAGATGTCGCGCCTAAAAGTACGTAAAAATTGTGATATTCAATGATCACATTCATTTTTTGTACTTGTATAGCGTCGATATGTTGAAAAAGGAAGGTTATGATTGTAATCTCATCAATTGCGGAGAGGATTTTTCGAAATCTTGAACCAGAATTCCTTCCAGGGAACCATAGAGAATATATCTTATGTCCATTCTAAAAAAAATTTGTACCTGCGGCTGAAAATTGCAGGATATATTTTTTTCTCTATTCGCAAACTTTCAAAAGTGTTTCAGTGGTATCTATTCTGCAATATCCGAGGAAATATTTTTCAAGGTTCCAAGTTCTCCAAAGAACGGGCAGAGATCAAAGCATATTCACGCATTTCGGTGATGCATGATACAGTATCAAGGAAATATGTCAACAGTTGGAAAATTTGCATACGGATCGCATGAAGGGTAAATTTTCGCCATCGTAACAACTTGAAGACGATCCGTCTCGCGAAAAATAAAATCCGACCACGTTTTCCAGTGTTCCTCCGCCCGGCTCCATGGGCCCCATGCAATTTGGCAAAATGTTACCTGTTATTTAAAGAATCAAAGAGAGGTTCGCTTTTTTTCATCGTCTTCGTCAGTCAAATCCAGTTGAACGATTGGAGTTATTCCTCCGGCTTCAAACAATTTAAAAATCATTACTGTACCTTTTTAATTCTAAAAATTGAGGTCTGTTGAGAATTTCTTTGGCTGCCCAAGCCTATAAGCCAGGATTAATTTTTGCTTGGGCATCAATACTGAAAACCTTTTAACTTTCACTTCATTATTTGCAATTAGTGTAATTATTTTCAATTTATCTCGTATTGAAAGCAAACCTTTGCATTCACTTCCCACCAAAATTTGAACCCGCAGATTTATTTAAATTTATGATTGACAGCATTATTCCTATTTTTAATATTTTATATCAATATCCAGTACAACTTGAACCTTCTGTCAATCCATAGAAGATGCAAGTTTGACAAGTGAACCTTTTTCCACACTAAGGTCTGATGCATATTCATGTATTTGTCCAACATTCCTATACTTGAGACTACGTAAGTATTAATTTGGATTAAATATTATTAGTAATTATTATGAATCGACCCATTTTCAAAGAAAGTAAATAGAAACCTGGTACAACCCATCAATCAATTTTTAAATGTTCATAGTTGAGGATTAATTACCTTTGGAGTCCTTGTATATGCCCTCTATTGCCAAGTCGGTGTAGCCCGTGTAGAAATGTGCGCCATAATTGGTTGAATTTGCAGGGAAAAATAAATCGCGGAATAATTGGAGTCTGGTCGGTAAGTAAGTCAGCAAACTTCCTCCCATTGTTGCACAATACTTTTCAGCCTCCAGGGGGAAAATAGACTCTTCAATGATCTTGTAGCAAGTTTTATCCACGGTTGTTTCCGTGTAACCGTCTCCACCTTTCCAGTTTTCAAAATAGCATCGAAAAAAGGGTTTGCATTCAATTTCTGAGTCCATTCACAACGTCGTTTAAAAAAAAAAGAAATTTAAATTTTAAATACCTGTGCAAAACGGATTTGGTCTAGGTGGTCGAATGAAATATCCATCTGTCCCGCAGGTGACTGAGTAGGACATTGCACCTGTCTGAAAACGTGAACCAGCTGGACAAACTGAAGTTACTAAAGCACCACTTGCTATGGGATAGTCCTTTCCATTCCAGTTTTGATAAACTGCTCCGGATGGCTTTGGTGGAACCTCAAAGCAGCCCCAGTCTGTCAATGGTGGGTAATTATAGGCAAGCATTTTACTTATTCATCGTAATCTAAAGAATATACTATAGGCAGGCGTTGTTTACTTCAATTGAAAAATCGTAGATCATCGACAGCAGATATGGAGACTATGAGCAAGTCTGTGCGACACGATAATGAAAAACATCAAAATCTATGTCCAAGTCAAACTATGACGGGAAAAAAACGAAATTGATTTTGCACCTACTGTACTTTAAATTACCCCGAGTACCTAAAAATTAAAGCATAAATTCATCTTCAGATAATGAAAAACATCAAAATCTATGTCCAAGTCAAACTATGACGGGAAAAAAACGAAATTGATTTTGCACCTACTGTACTTTAAATTACCCCGAGTACCTAAAAATTAGAGCATAAATTCATCATCATCGAGGCCTTGAATAAAACACTTCAATTCTTCTTCATTGAAAGAATTGGTAAAACATCTTGAGACTTCGGTTCAATCTACTTATCTTCGCAATTTTACTCACTGATGCTCCTTTTCTATCTCTGAATATTTTCTATTACAGTGGTGCTCACATAGTTAATGCAGTTATGGGGGACTTTTTGTACAACGAAATTCAGGATGAGACGGAACACATTTTTGGTCTCCTGAATTTCGTTATGGAGAGAATTTCATCGAAGAGAATGCCAATAGAATGGGAACAGATACCCCCATGAGACTAAAAAAAAATTGTTGTACAGTTCAAATAAAATCTCTGTGGAAAAGATCGTTGTAGAGAGTCTACCTATAATCAAATTAAACCTGTTAATCGTAATAATCAAAATACGAAGCCAAAAATGCCTCAAAACACAAACACGATGAAATTAATCGTGATATGTATATTCAACAACAATTTTTTTGGGTAAGAACCTAGCTGTCATCGGAAAAAATTTGGTTTTTGGAGGCATCGTACTGCACTTGAAACACATGGCAGTAATTTGTTCACGGCCATTATTTCTATATACTTTGCACATCAGAATGTAACATAGTAGATAAGTAGAGTCATCATTTCGAAAATACAGTACTATAATTATAAATGAATGTATGCTACCGTAAATTTTCTGATGCTGGGGAAATTGAAACAGCGAACACTCTTTTAAAGGCTCGAAAATCCTTCGAAGATTTGTCAAGCCCGAAACTGAGATTCGATGATTCCACGTTAAAATATTCTCAGCACTTCGCTGCACAGGACTGTATAAAGTAATTACAAGATTTAATAAACTCCTATATCTCTGTGCTTCTTCTTCTTGAGGATTGCATTACATATAAAAATTCCGGTGCTGATGGCATCCTCACCACGAATCCGAGGAAATTCGCATATGAAAGGCCCTGTATATGCGCAAATATGGTCTCCAGTTCTGTACATGCCTAACTCAGCAGAGTTCCAAGTCACCAAACAATGACCGTCGTAACCTTCAGCATCACCATACCTAGCTTCGACAGGATCCGTATTTCCTGAAGTTCATTAAAAAAAAAATTGCGTGCAATTATACTGACGAAAAAAACCATTTCTTGTGGAAAAAAAAAGACTCGTCTTCACACCATGCGCATCAGTGAAGACGCCAGTGATTTCTGTGTCAAACATTCCCATGAAACACCACGAGCCCATCAGTGCTTCTTGATAGAATTCGAATTTCGTCATTGAAGTCAGCGATGCTAAAGAACCGCCGAGTCCTTGGCAATACCCTGAGACCTGATCAAACATGATCACGCCTTGGATGAAGAACATGTAGACCTTCTTGTCCACGTCGTAGTACCTCGTTCTTATCCAACCTGCAGGAAATTCACACACACACACACACACGCATCAAAATGTGCGTGCGAATTATTACGCGGACTAATTCAGGCGCTCACTCGCGTCCATGTCTCGAATATAAACACTGGCCCCGGTTTGATTACTAGTCTTTGTAGTGGTCAGGTCCATGAGAAATAGTTGACATGTTGCTTGGCCAGCATCAGGATTCGGTGCTGGAATGTAGTTGAAGCCATGACATTCATCGACAGTGTATACAGAGCAGAGTCCACTGCACTCGGTTTTTGAAAAGTTCATCTGCATGCGCTCGCTGAAGATCGGCGACCATATTTTGTTCTGCACGATTAGTAAGTATCCATCTTGTGTTGTTTCCTTTCAAATCACAGGATAAAATTTTAAAACTTTCAACCATTAAAAAGTTTCTTAACTTTTTTCATTCTAATGGTTTTACAAATCATATCATACGCACTGCTGGGTTAGACGCGAACATAAAATAAGTGTGTAATCCTGATGAACTCATTCTTTATTTGTGTATTGCATACTCTGCCACATATATATATATATATATATGTTACTCTAATTTATGTATGCTCTAAAATTGCTTAGATTTCTTTCATAATTTTTTCTAAATTTTTATCGCAATTTGTATTTTATTTGTTTGAAAGCAGAATTATTATGAGTATTGTAAGACACAGTGAGCAATAATTAGCCCAAAATTTTTTTCCAAAATGTATCCCTACCAACTTACTGTATCCCGAATTCTGGCAAAAATGGACAACATTCAGAAAAGTTTGCATCAATAACTTTAAATAAAGACCGGACAAATTTTGGTAAAGAGAAGGATAAATTGTGGATCAAAAGTGGTCAGGTTTTGGATGAGAGAAGGACAAGTTTTGGGTAAATTTTTAAGTAGAAAAGGACAAGTTTTGAATACCTTTTCAGGAAAAAATGGACAAGTTTTGGATTACTTTTGACTTTTGAGGAAGAAAAGGACAACATTTGGATTATATTTGGTAAAGGAAAGCACAAGTTTTGGATTAATTTTGGAAAAGAAAGGAATACATTTTTCATTACTTTAGAAGGGAAAGAGATAAATTTTGGATCACTTTTGAAAAAAAAAAACAATTCTTAGACAACTTAATCTGGAGGATAATGGGACAATTTTTTCATGCGGTCGACAGACGGCCTAGCATTCAACACAATTTCCTTTTATATATTGTTATCCAGGAAATACTCGGGTTTGTTTCCA